GCCTCAATGCTTTTCACTTCTGGTTAGGAGTAGGGCGCCGGTCCCATATGCCAGAGGTGGCAGGTTCAAACCCAGCCCCAGCCAAAAACTGCAAAAAAAAAAAAAAAAAAGGATTGGCTGAGTGCAGTGGCTCATGCCTATAATCCCAGCACTCTGGAGGCCAGCATGGGTGGATTGCCTGAGCTCAAGAGTTCAAGACCAGCCTGAGCCAGAGCGAGACCCTACCTCTAAAAATAGCTGGGCATTGTGGGCGCCTGTAATCCTAGCTACTCGGGAGGCTGAGGCAAAAGGATCTTTTCAGCCCAAGAGTTTGAGGTTGCTGTGAGCTGTGACACCATGGCCCTCTACTGAGTACAACAAAGTGAGACTCTGTCTCAAAAAAAAAAAAAAGATTAAGATCACCTCCAAATTATCGGTTACATTACTTTGTTTTTGAACCCCTGTAGAAATTTTAGTTCCCATTTTAGTACTGTTTTCCTGGACCCAGACTGGAAAGTAATTGACAAGGTTTGCTCTCAACCTTCTTCAATAGAACAAAACTTTTCTTCTAGACCCTCACTCTGTGCATCCCATTAATATTGTGAAGCACTCATTTACCCAAAACATTCATTTTTTTCTGATTTTCTTTTTTAGGAGAAAAAGAAAGCAGGTTTAATTTTTCTACATTAAAGCCCTTTTCTCCTTTTTAAAGCTTTTGGAAGTTTTGATCTTCTTGACAACACAGACATCCATCTGCACTTCCCAGCTGGAGCTGTCATGAAAGATGGACCATCTGCGGGAGTTACCATAGTAACCTGTCTCGCCTCACTATTCAGTGGGCGGCTGGTACGTTCAGATGTAGCCATGACTGGAGAAATTACACTGAGAGGCCTTGTTCTTCCAGTAAGTATTAAAAAACTGATTTACATGGTTTTTAATTTTTATTTAATTTTTTAAAATTAATATTTTTAAATTTACATTAATAGAGGTTTGTCTTCTTTATTTGAAAACCCTGGTATTAAATATATACTAAATTTTTATACTTGTAACTAATGTATATCTTAAAATTTTGACAAAAGAAAAACTGATAATTTTGCCCATGTTTTCCTTATTAAGATGTGCTAAAGGAAAAAAATACCAGTGTGGTCATCAGAAATATCAGGCTTGGCACCTGTGGCTTAAGTGGCTAAG